TTTGAACCACCAGCCTTCTGGTTAGCAGTCAAGTGCCTTAGCCACTATGCTACCAGAGCTCCTAGAAAAGAAGGTAGAACATCAAATAAGAGTAATGACAGCTGTCTCTTATCACCGAAATAAAGCATTTCCTCATTAAGATGCATTCCCCACAAGAAAGTCACCTTGAAATTTTCACCAGTTCTTTAAACCTGACTGTGGGTTTGGATGAGTGAAGTGGTTTCTGAGATCAGCACTACTTCTTCCCCAAAATTTTGCTCTTAAGCCCCTCAACAGTGTGGACATCTGACAAGGTAGGCAAAGACATCTGTCAGGATTCTCTCCAAGTGTTCAGACAAAGTAAGCTCTACATCTAAACTGTTATGGTGAATACGCCTTGGCCCAGCAATGAGTTTTGAGGCAATTCCTACATAAAATCTATACAGAATTCTATCACCTTAGTTCTGACCTTTCCATATATATGACTGAGAGATTTAAGTGATAAGCCAAAAAGTATCCAAGGAGAAAAGGAGTTTGGGGAGGTAAGAACTGATTAAGACTCATTCATTCATCACTTATTTACACATTTGCATATGTTAATGTGTTACCAGGTATGTTATTCTTCTCTGAGCTTACATTTTGTGAGGAGAGAGAGAGATAGTAAACAAGTATTTTTTAGATGGTGATAAGCACTATGAAGAAAAAGGAACTGGAGAATGACATGAGGGTAGATAGCAGACAGGGGATGTTTATAAAGCAGAGACCTAAGGGGACTGAGAAACGGGAGCCACACAGAGTGCTTGGGGAAGAGTGTTTCTGTCAGAGGGAGTGGCAAGTGCAAAGACCTTGGAGTGGAAACATTCTTTACATCTTTAGAAGAAGCAAAGAGGACAATCTGGTCACTGTACAGTGAGAGTGAACGGTGCCTGAAGAGTGATAGGAGATAAGGACAGAGAATGATTGGGGCCAAATACATAAGATTCTGTAGGTCATGGAAACGATTTTGGGTTTTACTGTATGAGTGAGGTGGAAGGAGTTGAACAGAAGAGTGATGTGGTCTATTTTATATTTTAAAATGCTCATATGGGCTTTTATGTGAAGAACAGACTGGAGGAGAGAAGGGCAAAGGCAGAAAGATCATACTGGAGTCTACTTTTACAGTAATCCAGCAAGAAATTATGGGAGCTCTGGTGGTGTAGTGACTAAGGCATCTCACTGCTAACCAGAAGGCTGGCGGTTCAAACCTACCAGCCACTCCTCGGAAGGAAGGTTGGGCAATGTACTTCCATAATGATACCACCTTGGAAACCTAAGGAGGGGTTGCTATGAGTTGGATCTGACTTGATGGCAGTGAGCTGAGTGAGTTTTGCCTAGGATGACAGTACTAAAGATGATGAGAAGCTTCACCTTCCAGATATATTTAAAAAATAGGTAACCTGCTACAATTTGTTGATGGAATAGATGCAAGACATAAGAAAAAGGGAATAGTCGAGGATGACTGAAATATTTCTGGCCTGGACAACCAGTAGAAAGGAGCTGCTATTTACTGAGATGGGAAAACAAGATGGGGAGGTTGTATGGGAGCAGGGGCGGAGATTAAGAGTTTAGTTTTGGACATATTAAACTAGAGATTTTCAATCTAATAAGTGTCTGGAGTTCAGGGGAGAGGTTAGGGCTAGTGACATACATTTAGCAATCATCAATGCATAGATGGTATTTAAAGCCATGGAAATGGATAGGCTAATTCAGGAATTAAGAAAAAATAGAGAAGTCAGAACAACTTGACTAAGGTAAATGAAGACACTAAGAAGTACATGAGAAAAAGGGAGAATTTGAGTCAATGCTATAACATACACAATTTTGCAACAACAGTAAAGACAACGAAAAAAATATGATTACATGGGTAGATACGGATGCATATGTACAGAAAGGCATATATAAGTCAATGCACATGCATGTATAGGTGTATCTGTAAGCACATGTATACAGGCATACCTTGGAAATATTGTGAGTTCTGTTCCAGACAATCACAATAATAAAGTGCATATTGCAATAAAGTGAGTTACATGAATTTTCTAGATTCTCAGTTCCAGAAAGGGCTCAAGGGCAGTGGCATCTGACCTCTAACTTCATGAAGGGGAGACCGAATCACCATCAGCAGCATCAGCCCAAGGCTGATTCTTATGAGGTCAGACATGCCACCACCCTCTAACCCTTTCACCAATTCTGACATCAACTGTCCTTCTCAAGGCAATGACCACCAGACCTCACAGATAATACTCATGATTATGGGGTTTATGAGGGAAGTAACAGATTACAACAGAGGTTCAGAACACTTAGGATACAATTCTTCAATCAAGACAGCCTCCCCATGGCAATGCCCACAGGCTTGCATCTCTGACTCTTGGTCTCTCAGCCTGGCCACTGCTCTGCTCAGGCGAGCATTACAAAGCTCTTTTAGCTAGGCCAATAAGTAGGTACACCAGCAAGCCTCCAGCCAAAGGCACTCAGCTTCTTCGCTCCATGGGCTGGCAAGCCTGCTGCTCTGTCTCGTGGTGGTCTCTTGGTTCTGCTAACTCCGCAGTCTCTGCTGCCACCATCTCTCTGCCAAGGAGGTCCAGCGCAATGATCGCAGATCCAAGGATGTGCTCCATTCCTGGCTGCTCTTGATGGTATTAAGATTCCCCCTTTCCACCTCACTACCACCACACCCACCCACTGCCATCGAGTCGGATCCGACTCATAGCGACTTCTCCCTGGGTTTCCAAAGCAGTATCACTATGGAAGTAGTTTGCCCATCCTTCCTTCTGAGGAGTGGCTGGTGGGTTTGAACCACCAGCCTTCTGGTTAGCAGTCAAATGCCTTAGGCATTATGCCACCAGAGCTCTCTTCCCACCTTTGGGAGGGCTTATTTTAAGCCTAGTGAGATGGCAAAACTGACCAATCCCCACATTAGGGTTCCATACACTTTATTTGCATGGTTGCACCCCCACAAAGATGTCATGTACCTTATTTACATTACAAAAAAGCCATGAATCCCCTTGGTGGGCCACAAATTACCTCACATTTACACAGTTCCAGCCATCTGGTGGGAGTCACAAAGACTACGGCTAAAAGAGCCATACCAAGTTATTCCTTGAACCGCACTAGTGCATATGAAAGTTATATTTATACTATTCCCTATTCTATCAAAGAAGCTCTGGTGGTATAATAGTTAAGGCATTTGGCTGCTAACCAGAAGGTCAGTGGTTCAAACCTAGCAGCCACTCTGTGGAAGAAAAGATAAGGCAGTCTACCTCCATAAAGAATTATAGCCTTGGAAACCCTATGGGAGTTGCTATGAGTTGGAAATGACTTGAGGGCAGTAAGTTTGGTTTTTGGTTTGGTAGTCTATTATGTGTGTAATAGCACTATGAAAAAGTTTGAAATATGAGAATTACCATAATGTGACACAGAGATATGAAGTGAACACATACTGTTGGAAAAATGGCACCAATAGACTTGCTCGGAGCAGGGTTACCACAAACATTCAATTGTAAAAAGCACAAATAAAGCAAAACTGAGCAAAATGAGGTAGACCTGTATACGTGTTTGTGTGAACTGCACATATATCCACATATATAACAAACCCCATAGAGGGCAGAGTTATGGAGGCTTCTTAGATATATCCAAACAACCCACAGGATTAGTTCACGGGGTTAGAAGGTTTGGGACTGTAATCTCAAGGGACAATTTAGTCAATTGGCATAAGACCATCCACAAAGACAAACGTTCTACATCCTAGATTGGTGAGTAGCACTGGCGGTCTTAGAAGTTTACAAGCAGCCATGTAAGACACAGCTACTTGTCTCTACTCATATGGAACAAAAGGGAATGAGGGAAATCAAAGGCTCAAAGAAGAAACTAGTACACAGGACTAAGAGCACAGATGAACCAAAATTTCTTCTAATCTGAGACTAGAAGAACTAGATGGTATCTAGCTAGCACTATGGACCGTTCTGACTAGGGACACAATACAAGGCTCTGGACAGAATGGGAGAAAAACATAGGACAAAATTCAAATTTCTAAAAATGGCCAGACTTACTGGACTGATAGAGACTAGAGGAAATCTCAATGTCACTGCCCTAAGATAACCTTGGAACATATATTTTGAAGCTATTTCAGTACCTTTCAGCTAAATAATATATTGTCTTTAAAAAAAAAAACCAAAAAACCCACTGCTGTTGAGTTGGATCTGACTCATAGTGACCCTTCCTTGGGTTTCTGAGGCGGTATTGCTACCCAAGTAGATTGCCCAACCTTCCTTCCGAGGAGTGGCTGGAAGGTTTGAACCACCAGTCTTCTAGTTAGCAGTCAAACGTTTTAGGCACTAAACCACCAGAGCTCCTTACAAAATAAAAAATATCACCCATGAGTAATGTGCTCCCTGAAACTCTTAACTTCATGAGACCAAACAGTCAACATTTACCCAAAAGCAAAGATGAGAAGGCAAGGAGGGACAGGGAAGCTATTAGTAGATATTCTTTCTTCCTCAGTGAAACAAGCAAATTGATCAGCTGAGAGCAAAGAATGGGGAGAAGGAATTGGCAGTTTGAGGACAAAGGTAAATGTCTAGAGAGTGGAAGAGTGACTCACCCAGGGGAATGGGGCAGGAACATCAAACAGCACTAAGGGTGTATGAGACTAGAAGTCAAGAGTTGAAGGTGAGACCTGGCTGCATTCTTACATGTTTTCTCCAGCCACATTCAATCACTAGTGTACAGGCAGAGTGGGCAGGTAGCTAGATTCAGCTGGGGTGGGGTTTCAATATTAATATAAGGCAAAAATGCAAAGTACCACTGTTTTTTTTTCTGACCTGAAATAAATATATAACTTATTCTTCTAATACATTTGCTACCATTATTGATGCTGCTATGATTCTAAGTTCTATCATTATCCCCTTTTAGTCCTTCTCTACTTTTTTTCCTGATGAAGAAATTAGCAATGAAGGCAGACACACGGGAAACAAGAGGAAGATGAATTAGTCCAGAGCTAAAAAATAAGGACACTTGGTTCACATATATTAAATAACTTTTCTGAATTCTTTGAAGATAATCTGATACTTCCTTTATGAGATCTTTTTGTAATCCTGAACTTTCACAGAATCATATGAATAATAAAGCTTATCTCAAGTTATTTCCCAATCAGTCATTACTTCTTATCCAATTTAACCAAAACTTGCATTGAGGATCCATGATATGTAAATAGTTTCAGGGAAAACAGAAGATATGTAACAGAAAAATAAATTTGATCTTGGAGGCCATATTTTACAGAAGACACTCTATAACTCACCTCACCAAGATGTGAGTCGCCCAAAGGTCCTTTTGTTTCTGGATTAGCAATTATGATCCGGACGCCTGGAAGTATCTATATGAGAGATGAGAGAATGCAAGTCAATGGACAGAAAGACAGGGTGAAAGCACACCAAATCTTATCTTTATGTAATCTGTCTAGTTTCCTTTCTAAAAATCTTTCAGAAACTAGTATGGCAGTAAGTAAAAATTACATATTAATTACATAATTACAATATAATGCTGACATTTTCACCGTACTTATCACTATAACTATATATCCTGGGGAGCTCTGATGGCATAGTGCATAAGGCATTTGACAGCTAACCAGAAAGCTGGCGGTTCAAACTCACCAGCCACTCCTTGGAAGGAAGACTGGGCAATCTACTTCCATAGTGATACTGCCTCAGAAACCCAACTCGACTGTAGTGAGTTTTTTTTTTTTTTTTAATATCCTGTGCTAAAATGATCTTAGAATTCAGAATTTTGAACAAAAACATGATAAATGAAATGATGTAACTTATTTAACACAACCTGATGCTTGCAAATAATTAATTTTCAGTTATTTCAATTAATTTATTTCCTTTGAATTGCACATTTGTCTCACATCATGGCCCATAAGCATGAATGAAAGGTTAGGCCACAGCAATCAGGGAACTAAGGAAGTCAGGGAGTAAAGTTCTCAGGGATGATTATGGGGTCAAAACAAAAACAAACAAAAACCCAGCAGGGAAAAATGATTTTATGGAAGGCTGGTTTTGTGATGGCCAGAAGTAAAAGGTTCAGTGTCCACTGCTCATATGCTCTGATGTTTTATTTATAATTAGAACATCTGTGCTGATCGCCCTATTTTCGCCATTATATTTTCAACTCTGTCTATTGGGGAACTTTTTCCTAGAGGGTAAAGTTTTTTGTTATAATGGATGCTGATGTTAAGCACCTCCTTCTTAAGTTTAGCTGAGAAAACGTTCCAAATTTCTCTGACATAAGCACATATATAAGGAAGCAAAATCTCTTTGTAGAAATCTAGGATATAGCCTGTCTCAGATTAGCTAATTTAACAATATGGTTGTTACCATCTGAAACATGGTAAAAACACAAAAACTCTTGGAACAGTTATCCTGTATGTTAAGACTGAAGTGAGATTTTTACAACTGGTTTTTGTGGCCAACTAAAATTCTGGCAGAATATGTTGATAATCTGGAGGATAAATACCATTTCATATTATTAAAACCAAATTAGTAAGAAGAATTCTAATTTGTGCTCGTGTAGACACAGGTGATAAAAGGCCCTGAAGCAACATGAGCTACTATTAGAGTTACGTCAAATGGACAGATTTGACCTCCATTCAGGGAGCAGTTGAGATAATTGGAACCAAATTTTTTAATTTTAATCTTTATTTAAGTTTAAATAGGTTTTCTGTCCCATAGTCCTGTAGTTTTATAAAAGGTAAGCACTGTGTTAGTTCTATTAAAAGCAAGTACTATGCTAGAAACTACTAGGTATCCCCTGACATCCATTCTGTGTCTACTTCCTGATGTCTAGCTGTTTTTGTCGTTCTGTGCTGTAGTGTTGATTCTAACTCATAACAATACTATAGGACAGAGCACACAACTGCTCCATAGGGTTCCTCAGATGAAACTTTTATGGGAGCAGATCTCTAGGGTTTTTCTCCCACAGAGCAGCTGGTAGGTTGGAACTCCTAACCTTTCAGTTAGCAGCCAAGAGCTTAAACAACTGTGCCACCAGGGCTCTTTAATTTTTAGCAAGGTCCCTAAATATTTGGAAACAATATAATATTCCTCAACTTTCCTTTCACCTAGGTGTGACCATCTGACTAAATTTCGGCCAGTGGTATAAAGTGTGAGTATGGGAGTTCAATGCATCTTCCCTTAAGGTTAGCACTGTTTATCTCCTCCTTCTCTCTGTCCTCCTGATGGCTGAAATGTGGAAAGGATGGCTGGAGTTGGAACATCCATCTTAGATCATGAGGTGAACTTGGGGATGGAGGCCAAGTACAACAGAGTAAGACAGAAGGAGCCAGGGTCCCTGGTGATTTCACGGAGCAGAGTTACCATATCACTGTGGATGCCTACTTCCAGACTTGTACATGAGAAGGAAATAAATTAAAACACACCAATTTTGTAGGAGGCCTCACACTGCCAGATCTCAAAACCTACTATACAGTTACAGTAGTCAAAATTGCCTGGTATTGGTATAATGACAGACACATAGACCAATGGAATAGAATTGAGAACCCAGAAATAGATCCATTGACCTATGGTTAGCTGATCTTTGACAAAGGGCTGAAATCCATTAAATGGGGAAGAGACTGTCTGTTTAACAAATGATGCTGGCAAAACTGGATATCCATTTGCAGAAAAATGAAACAAAATCTGTACTTCACACCATACATAGAAACTACCTCCAGATGGATCAAAGACTTAAATGTGAAAAAAACTATAGAGTTCTTCAAGGAAAAACTAGGGGGCAAATGTAGGGGCCCTAATACATGGCATAAATAGACTATCAAGCACAACCCAAAATGCACAACAGCAGAAGAGAAACTAGATGAATGGGACCTTCTAAAAATTAATTTTTTATGTGCTTCCAAAGACTTCTCCAAAAGCGTCAAAAGAGAATCTACAAATTGAGGGAAAATATTCAGCAATAACATATCTGATAAGGGACTTATTTCTAGAATTTATAGAAAACTCCAAAACCTCAACAACAAAACGACAATTAATCCAATTAAAAATGGGCAGAAGACATGAATAGACACTTCACCAAAGAGGATATTCAAGCAGCCAACAAACACGTGAAGAAATGTTCACAATTATCAGCCATTAGAGAGATGTAAATCAAAACAACAATAAGACACCATCTTGCCCCAGCACTAGTAGCAAAGTTCAATAAGACAGAAAATAATAAATGCTGCCAAGGATGCAGAGAGATTGGGACTCTTATACACTGCTGGTGGAACTGTCAAATGATACAACCACTGTGGAAAGCAGTAGGGTGATTCTTTAAAATGTTGAAATTAGAAATACGATTTGACCCAGCAATTCCATTACTAGGTACATATCCTAAAGAAGTGAGAGCCAAGAGAAGAACAGATATATACATACCCATGTTCATCACAGCACTATTTAAGACAGCCAAAAGATGGAAACAACCTAGATGTCCATCAACTGAAGAATGGATAATGAAACTATGGTACATACACACAATGGAATACTATGCAACCTTAAAGAATAATATGGAATCTGCAAAACACTGCATAATGTGGATGAACTTGGAGGACATTATGCTGAGTGATATAAGTCAACCACAGAAGGACAAATATTGTATGAGTCCATTATTGTAAAAAGTCAAGGAAAGGTTTATATATGGAAAGAAATTTTCTTTGTTGGTTACCAGGGGTGGGAGGGTAGGGTAGGAAACATTATTAGATAGGTAGAGACAAGTATTGATTTGCGTGAAATGAAAGGCAATGTACCAAGTGTGAGTGATCAACATGGTGGCACTGAGAAAGAGGAGGACATAGAGAGGTGCATGGGAGGTACAGACAACAAAGATGAACCCTTTTGCACATATAGTAGTGTGTCGTCAGTGAAGGCAAACATGGATGTATGGGTGGATAGATGGGTGGACAGGTTGAACTATAAGGTATGTCTATACAGGGGGAAGTGTGCCCATGACCATGTATAGGGTTGGCAAACAATGTTTCTACAAATGTATGGGTATGTTCTATAAGAATTCCCAGGTATATAGTTGAGCTGGCAAGGGACAAGGTTGTAGTCACTCCTTGGCCACAGCCAGCTACCCAGAGGGAGCAAGTAGTTGGACCTGTGGGTGTGGGACGATAGACGCAGGGGACATCAAGCTTAATTGGCATAACATACTACACAAAACATTGTTCCACCTCCTACTTTGGTGAGTAGCAACTGGGATCTTAAAAGCTTGCAAGCAGCCATCTAGATGCAACGATGGGTCTCTCCTTGTCCAGAGTAAAGAAGAATGAAGAAAACCAAGGATTCATGGAAACAAATATTCCAAGCAACTGGCACACCATGTGATCCTCAGCCTATATGAACGATTTTGAGACCAGAAGAACTAGATGGTGCCCAACTACGACTGTCAACCACTTGGAGAGGGAATCTATGTAGGAGATCCTAGATAGAGAGGGAGAACAATGTGGAACAAAACTCAAAGTCATTTGGGGAAAAAAAAAAAAGGGTGGGTGTGGACCAGGTTTGCTGGTCTGATGGAGCCTAGTGGAATTACTGAGACTATGGCCCCTAGCTGCCCTTCAGGTCTGGAATTGGACCCACTCCTGTGGCTTCCAGCCAAACAAAAGACAGGCATATGAGCTGAACGTTTACATTAGGCAGGTACACTCCTCGGAGAGTTCAATCATGGGAGAATAGAAGGGCTTTGTATGCACAGGGAAACAGCTCAGGGGGCAGGAGTGCATGGAGGGAAGGGCACAGGGAAGTGGTAACTATAAGGAGGAAGTGGCAGGGGGGAGCTCTTGCATTGTGGTAAATTGTAGTTAATGTCATGAGACAAAGTGCATGAGAGCTGCTGTATGGAAAGTGAATTTGCTCTGTAAACTTTCATCCAAATCACAATTAAAAACAAAGCAAAACAAAAAACACCAATTTTGAGTTTCTGTCTTCCTAATCAAACTTGTTGTTGTTGTTATGTGTTGTCGAGTTGGCCCCAACTCATAGCGACCCTTCCTTGGGTTTCCGAGGCAGTATCACTACAGAAGTAGGATTGCCCAACCTTCTTTTTGAGGAGTGGCTGGTGGGTTTGAACCACCAGCCTTCTGGTTAGCAGTCAAGTGCCTTAGCCACTATGCTACCAGAGCTCCTTAGTCCTGATATATTGCTTTCAAGAAAAAATTTGGAAAAAAATATTCTGCAAAATACATTTCTTTAAATTTCAAAGCATATGCACTCAGACACACAGATGGAATGACAGATTTCTTCCTTTAATACTTACTTTTCCCGATTCCATTAGGGGCAAACTATGAGGAGATCCTCTTTCTACTAAGCGGACTCTGTAAATATAGAAACAGAAAATATTACTAAATATGTTTCCTGTACCATCGAATCTCCTCCATAACTGTAAGTACTTGGTCATGTCCTCCATGGGTTGTTAGGGAAGGTTAATTTTGTTGGTGAGCATTACCTTATGAGAAAGATAGGTTAGAAGTAAAAGATAATGCTATCAGAGTGAAACAGTGCAGTGGGCAGGGCAAAATGACAAGAGCACAGTAACAAAGTCTGCAGAGAAGAGAAGTGTGAGTAGCAGTGACCATTTACATGGTGATCTCCAGAGACTGATCCATTCTAGAGTCTAGGTGCACACATTTTCTGTTTGCAAATGATATTCAATTCCAGGCAGGAGAGATTAGAGACTAGCAATATACATAATTGGAAGTCCTCAGGAAACAGGAAATGTTGGCTAAGGGAAGAACTTTGATGTCAGTGGGAACAGACTGAAACCTGAAATGAAGATCTGAAGTCACATTTATGAAATCAGTAAAGTAACTGAAAAAGTGATTCTGCGTTTAAAGTAACCGAGATTGAACTTTACATTTGCAGAAAAGGAAAAGATAAGGATTAAATTGCATATTTGGAAGAGCTGCCAGTCATGCAATGATAGTGGTAACTATTCTCAACACTCACACCTCTGCTTGAAAGGCAGTACCCAGTGTTTATGACAGCATGGCATCCATTTATGAAACTAAGTGTGCTCGCAATGTGTGGTTGTAGAGCTGAATGAACACGAGATTGGCCAAGTCAGATGGCAAAACCTCCTTTTAGAAAAGATACTTCTAAATGTCTGAAATATTTGATGATAATTTTATGTAAGATAAGTAAGTGCCAAAGACTTTGCTGTCAATCCCAACCAGAGCTACCTAACAGTCCTTCTCAGATGCTTAATTTTTAATATTGTATGGTCTCTATTACCAGTTTTACACTTCTACCATGTAGCTAGAGTACTACATGCTGTTCATTCATCTAAAATGCATTTTTCACTTAAATGAAAGTAAAAGAGAAAATGCTTGAAAACTATAGAACAGAGAAGAGAATGAGTCCTGGCACTCCCTTCTGGGGCCAGCTTTATCCATAGGGATGGCAGAGGGTTATGAACAGGTGGTTTGGGGTTGGGAGATGAAGTGGGACTATAAAAGACCCATTTTTTCTCTACCCTCAACCATCCACGTCTTCTCTACTGAGATTTGAAATTCACCACCAGTAACCCATTCTTATGCATTAAGCACAGTGTTTTCCTTTTAAGTAATACATGTTGCTGAAGTGAGAGATATAAGGAGAGGGAAGAGGAGAAGGGGAAAGGCATTGAGGAAAGAAGTCCTCAGCTTTTGCTAAGCCTAGGCTTGCTGCTTTCAGTGGGATGAACTCCAGTAGAAGGTCAGCTGTCCACCCTGTGTCCCCCATGGTATGTGGGTGATCCTTTGGTAACCTGGAAGCTCATGTTACTGAACATGTTTTCAAAGGATGAAGACTCTAAAGGCTATGTGAACAACATTATTAGCTGTCAATAAATGAGGGCTGGACCTTGGTGATAGCTTGGGTGCAGGCACAACCTCAGCAGGGGCAGCTGGCTGAATTGCTCACAGCTACTATTGCAGGATCCCTGGGTGGTGCGAATGGCTAATGTGCTGCTGCTAATGGAAAGGTTGGAGGTTTGAGTCCACCCAAGGGAGTACTGGCAGAAAGGCCTGGCAACCTGTTTCCAAAAAATCAGCCACTGCACACCCTATGGAGCACTGTTGTACTCTGACACATATGTGGGGTCACCATGAGTTGAAGTCTTTTTGACGACAACTGGTTCACTGGTTACTATTGCTTGGTCAAGGGCTGTCTGCAGCCAGGAGCACCATTTCCCTCTGGCCAACGCCATGAATGATACTCTGAGAATTCAGCAACTGAAAAACTTTTAACCTTTAGTCAACAGAATTCTTTGCTTCTCTTCTAGCCTGTAATGTAACTTCTGATGCTGCTTCAGAAAAAAAATGTAGCCTGTGAAGGAGTAAATCAGGGTAAGAGTAATGTTTTTCCTCAGCATGGGAATGTGGAAGAAATAGTGGGGAGGAGAGATACTTGAAGAGCTTCAAAAGTAGCAATTATGGAACATATCAGAACTACAAAAATGTATCATATTTGTACTAAAGAAAAACCTGGATGCTGACAGTTGTGTATTAGGGCTAGCAAAGAAAACCAACCTAGATCATGAAAAGTATATGAGCTATTCTAGAATATGCCAATAGTCTTAATGATACTAACCTTCAAAAATAAATTACTGGCTGCATTAAAATAACTATAAGAAACTGGCGATCTTTTAGGACCCAGGTAACATTATGCTAACTTAAAAACAAAACAAAACAAAAACCTCACTGCCATCAGGTCAGATCATAGTGACCCCTCCATGGGCTTCTGAGGTGGTATCTCTGTGGAAGTAGATTGCCCAGTCTTCCTTCCGAGGAGTGGCTTGGGGTTTTGAATCACCAGCCTTCTGATTAGCAGTCAAATGCCTTATGCTAAATTGTTGTTGTTGTTGTTATGTGCTGTTGAGTCGGACCTGACTCACAGCGATCCCTTCTTGGGTTTCGGAGGCAGTACCACTGAGGAAGTCCATTGCCCCATCTTCCTTCTGAGGAGTGGCTGGTGGGTGTGAACTGCCAGCTTTTTGGTTAGCAGTCAAGTGCTTTAGGCACTACGCTACCAGAGCTCCTTATGCTAACTTAGAGTGGGTAACTTAGAGTGGGTTATTATTAAAACTTTGGAAAAAAGTTTACTTTTTACTTCTAAAAAATCAGCCAGTGAAAACCCTGTGGAACACATTTCTACTCTGCTACATATGAGGACGCTGTGAGGTGGAGTCAACTCAACTTGCTGACAACCAGTATTGGTACTACTAGTAAAACATACTATTAGAACACTACTCAGAATCTATAATGAAAACATAAATATGCTATTTTTACGGAAATTTCTCACATAGCAGCACACATTCAGTTTTAGATATATGTGATACAGAAAATAGCCATGCCACTAACGTTGACTGATCTGGTTGGTCAGTAAGGCCCATAGGGTAAAATGTACTAACACTACATTGATATGCATAGTTGAGTACAATGAGTAAGTTCGCATTCAAGATGGCTGGCTACCTGTGGATTCCAGCTACTGGCTATGTGGTACAGATAAAGGAAGCAATATGGGAATGAGACCACAATAGGCTGTGAAAAGTCGTGTGTGGGCAGGGGTGAGGAAAGGAGGGTATCCTAAGAGCATGAGCAGAAAGAATGAAGAAAAAACATAAGAGATCAGCTTGCTCAGCAGTATTGCCAGCTTCTAGGTCCCAGTGCTTGGCCCCTCCAGTAGGTCCTGGAGCCCTTAGCCCCAGTATATTGGGGCTGCAGCTATCTGGGAGGCAGGCAGCTAGCCAGCAACTGGATTTTGAATCCTATAAAGGGCACACAGTCAGGCCATGGAGCAAAACTCTTAAGCCAAAAATACGGGCTGTTTCAGACAAGTAGTCTGGGAGGGGTGAGGGGTCAGCTAAGTTTCCATTTCTGTTTCCACTCTGCCTGCCACTCACTCTATAATCACTACCACTTTAGGAGTTAGAAATGCCTGCCAGGCAAGCCATCTGAAGTGCTAGGCAGCTCTGACAGCTTTACTATTATTGAGATGTCTTGAGATAAGGCACACTGCTGTAATTTATGAAACAAGGCTACCGAAGGCAAGGAAATAATGGGCAAGTACCCCTGGATGATGATTCCCTGGGTGGCACAAATGGTTAAGTGCTGGACTACTAACCAAAAGTTGAGTGGTTCAAACCCATCCAGAGATGGCTCAGAAGTAAGGGCTGGTGAACTGCTTCCAAAAAGTCACAGCCTTGAAAACACTGTGGAGTATGGTTCTGTTCTACACATTTGGGGTCGCAATGTGTCAGAATCAACCTAGCACCTAACAACATCTTTATCCCTGGATGAGGCACAGATCACTATGATCTGGCACATCTGATAGTCTAGCTTTCATAGTTTTCCTTATCCACAATTCCCCTCAGATTTTCTGCCTTAGCCAGTGCCCAGCAGAAATGAGGAGAAAAAAGGGAAATAAGACAACAGGTAGGGCTCTTTTTAACCTGAGTTCCCTGAGGTGAAACTTCCTGACATGACCAGTCTTTGGCCGGTACTTTGCTCTCTGACTGGTAGCTCCTTCTTCTACCCTCTTCCTTCCTTCCTTCAGATTTTATCTTGTCTCCTGGCCTCTGTGTATTTAACCTCATCTCAGAAAAAGGAAGAGAGATGGAATCTCAGCCGAGACTCTAATCTTATCTGAAATGTGGATAATACAGTGTTACAAATTTCTTCTCTGATCAATATGAAAAAGGGTGCTTTGTATGAAGGCAGGTGTCAGTGCTAAAATCACTCAGGGTTGGTCCTGAATGAAAAAATTACAGATACTGTTATTAAATGCCATATAAGAAGGCCTTTAGTTACCTAGAAAACAAAAAATATCCATATAGTAAAAAGAAAAAAATAATAACCCTTATTAAAAAGTTCAGATATGTCACAAGCTGGGAAGTATATTTGCAATAAATAGAAAGATCAAAATTATTAATGTGCCAATACCTTGTAGAAATAAATGAAAATAAAATGTAAACTGGAAGGGTAACACTTTATGCTATTATCAGCTGTTAACAGAAGTAGTAGTATACCATGTGGTATCGATAGTGGGCTCTGAATTAAGACCTAGGTTCAAAACCCTGCTATGGGAATCAGAGGAGGAAATGGAATGTGTGGCTGTTTGCCTCCATGAACAACTGTCTCCTTTGCCATGAGACCAGAAGAAATGGATGGTTCCCAGCTACCATCACTAAACCTTTCCAACAAAGTTTCTATACCAGAATCATGATCGAGAGGGGGAAAATGCAGAACAGAATTTCAAATTCTCAATGGAATCCTGACTTTATGGAGCCATTTAGGCTGGATGAGCCCCTGAAACTACTGCCCTAAGATAATCTTTA